ATTCCCCCAGCTGAGCTGGAGGAAGTGTCTGGAGAAAGGGAAGTCTGGGCATCTTTGCTTAGACTGCTGCCCCTGCCACCCTGTTCCGGATGAGCGGAGGAAAATGGATGGATGGATGGATATACAAAACCTTCATTGCAACAACACACCTTTCACTATTGAAATGCTCCTTGATTTCTCTGGCTTCACTTTCATTCTAGTCCACTTTAAATTAGCACTCAGCTTGTCCAATAGACTTTTGGTACATGGTGCTGTGGTGGTGATAGTTGTCATGTCATACAAGTAGACTCTTATCAGTGGTAACTGTTGGCCTGACTGAAGCCTCTCTCCTACTGCAACTCATCTAGATGCCCTAATAATAACTTCTGTTGCCATGGTAAACACTAGTTGTGAGATTGTGCATCCTGTCATGATGCCTATCTCCAGTCGCTGCAAAGCTGTAGCATACGCCGCTGCTGTGAAACATATCTGGATATCCTGTGCTCTTGTTTTCACCAAGACCTGGCTGTCAGACAGTGTCCCAGAGTCCGCCGTTCAGATACAGACTCACTCTGTACACCGAGGAGACCATACTACAGCTGTCGGTAAGGCCAAAGGGAGAGGTGTTTGTGTTTATCAACAACTCAGTGGTGTGGAGATGTACAGACTGTGTATAAGCACTGTTCACCAGATGTGGAGTTTTTAATGCTGAAAAGCCATCCCTATTATCTACCAAGAGAATTTAGCTGTGTGTTTTTGGCTGGAATATACATAGCCCCAAGAGCTAATTCCACGGTGGCTCTCAGCAAACTCCATGATGTCATCAGCGCGTTAGAGACACCCCGATGCTGTATTTATCACCGCAGGCGACTTTAATCAGTATGGACTGTATTCCCCAAATATTACCACCATATGGACATTCCCACCCAGGACAAGAACACACTGGATCATGGAACCCCACTTCGGATGCTCAGACCACATTTCTTTGTTCCTGTATCCAGCTTACAGACAAAGACTGAAACAAACAAACCCTGTCACTAAACAAGTGAAACTTTGGAACACAGAGAGCACACTGCAGGACTGTTTTGCTGAGACAGACTGGGATGTGTTTAAAGCTGCGGCCACCTTGGAGGACTTTGCTGTCAGCTTACAGGATTATGCTGAGTATGTGACCGGGTACATTAGTACCTGTATTGACAACATTGTGCTCACCATACAAGTCAGGAGGTTTCCCAACCAGAAGCCCTGGATAAACAGTCAGGTATGCCACATGCTGTGTGCTCGCTCTCATGCATTCAGATCAGGCGATGAGATGGAGTACAAAGCTGTGAAGTACAGACTGAGGAAAGCCATCACAGCAGCCAAGAGGCAGTACAGAGAGAAGCTGAATGGCTTCTATTCTGACTGCTGCTGATGAAAGTGGCAAGGAGTGCAGCACATCACAGACTACAAGACCACCACCAGCATCATCAGCTCCAAAGACAGCCTGCCGGATGACCTCAACACCTTCTGCACCCACTTTGAGACACAGAGAGGAGGCACACACACACCTGGACCACCCAACCCCCCACCTCCCCTCCACTAACTGTCTCACCAGGCCAGGTACGCACAGTCCTGAAGATCAACCCCCGCAAAGCGGCAGGACCGGACAACATCCCTGGGAGGGCGCTTAGAGCGTGTGCCAGCAAACTGGCTGATGTTGTCACCTCCATCTTTAAACTTTCCCTCAGCCAGAGCATCGTTCCCTCCTGCTTTAAGACCACAACCATCGTCCCCCTTCCCAAGAAGAGCCCAGTCACCTGCCTGAACAACTACAGGCCAGTGGCACTCACTCCAATCATTATGAA